TCTTCTCGGCGGCAGCCGTTCCGGTAGCCACCGCCTTACCCTGCGCCTTGCCTTTTCCCTTGGCAGGTGCGGAGGACCCAACACCACACTCTCCAGCCATAAAGAAAACAAGAAAGACTCGAAGAAGATTGGGGAAGAAGGAAAAAGAAAACTGTAGAAAGGAAGTACCTGGTATTCTTCCTCAGAAAATAACCCTAACAACGACTGGGTTACCGAAAACGACGGCGGAAACGGAGAAAATGGAGACGGAGGATAAACGGAAACGAGAGAAATAGCGTGCGCAAGAAGCTGAAAAAATGAAAAATGAGCAAAGTGAAAAGGGAAGAGGCACGAGGAAGAGAAAAGGGTTTTTCCCAAATTCAAAACGGTCACGACACGTGTCAGCCAAGGGGCACGTCTGACGACACATTAATTGAGAACTATCATTACATAACCGTCATTCTCATAAACGCGCCACTTGCATGTTTTCGAAAATGACCAGTTATGACACATGGCATCTCAATAAGCAAGCGTACACGAAGAGTCACAGCCACTTGACGAGCTCGGTCTTAACTCCTCCACCCACGGTCTTCGGAGCTCGGGGGGCTAGTGTACTATCCGTGACGCCATGCCGAGCTCGAGCTCGACATCGCAACATAGGATGTCCTCGGAACACGCATTCAGAGATCTCGGCCTAGACGAGATCCACAATCCAGCCAGATCATAACTTATCTCGGGAGATCTCGGTCCAGACGAGATCCGCTATCTAATTAGATCACAACTGATCTCAGGCCCAAGGCCCAACGCAACCCTAATTCACACTAAGGTACGTGCATTACTTATACGAGACATATACTCATACGAACCCTAATTTTGGCATCGGAGTCTCTTTTGCAGGTACCACTCCCATCTTGGAGCACCAGCGTACCAGTGAAGGAGGCTCACCAATCTTACTTGGAGGATCATCTCTACAAGAAATTCCCAGTAAGAACACATTATATTTACATAATCTTATTTAATATCTCACTATTTTTTAAACTTAATTTTAGAAGAAAGAGTGCACCAAACACTTGTGCCAGAGTTTAATCGAGTTTATTATGACCGTCTTCAAAGCTTTCACACATAAAATCTTATAAAAAATAATATAGCTCAACCATTCAATCACCTGCACTAATCAACATTGTTAAAATGTGGTCATGTATAACACATTTTAATGGGGAATCGAACGACACAATTTGTTTGTGACACAATTTGTTTGTGACACAAAATTAAATTTTGTGTCACAAGTGAGAAAATGTAGTAACATGCTGTTCATCCGACAATCCAACACCTCACACAATTCACATAAACACTGCAACCTTAAAAAAAAAAAAAAAACCATATGATTTGATGCACCTGTATAAGTATCCCATTCGTTATTTTTGTGCTAACCAATCTTTTTCTCACTTGTACATTGTGGGTACTCCATTTAGCAACTCATGTAAGTCTTCCACTACCCATTATTCTCAAACATGGTAAGTCCAATTTTTTTCTACATCTACAAATAATTATCTTTTAAAAATTATTAAAAAACAAAAGCAAATATATATTTTAAGATAAACAGAACTAAATATATATAAATATGATATATATAGAGAGATTAAGTAAAAAATAATTTAGAAATTTAGAAATAAAAATAAAGAATATAAGATCATAAGGATAAAATTGTTATTTTAGTCAAACTTTAAAATGTCCGTCGTTCCCGTGGACTGATTGACTGAATGACCATTTGGAACAAAGGTAAATGCTGAAGCAAGTCATTGATTTTAGATTCTTATACTCTAACATTTATGATTTTCAAACATAATAACGGTGTCTCTTTCTATTTGACACCCTTCATTTATTTATAATTTTAGTAATACTATTTTTTTATTTTTATTTTATTTTTTTTATCAATTACTCCTACATTGATTCATTATTAACCATGGAGCAGGGATTGAGATTCCATGTGCTTCACAGCATTAGAATTTAGAAGACATAAAGAAAGAAAAAAGAAAAAAGAAAAAAGAAAAAATAGTAAAAAAAAGGTGGAGGTTGGTCGAAGGCAGAAACTTGATGAGTCGACACATTGTCTGTGTGGAATGAGTGAGAGAGAATGAAGAAAGCCTTAGCCTCACTCATCTTCCTTGTGACTTCCTTCGGATCCAAGTGACTCCATGAGAAGAAGATCCCACACGCCACGCAATGCAAGACTCCGATCAGCGCCACCACCACACCGAAACGACGCCGTCGCCTAAGCGAAACGCGCGACCCAAGCGCCCCGTCTTCAAGGTCCTCCCGGGGCAGATCGCCTTCCGCCTCGTC